GCACCAGCCGACAGCATTTCTGGCACAGCTGTGCTCTGAAAGAACAGAAATGGGAAAACTCTTCTGTACCTGAACTGACCACAGGAAGATTGTACAAAGTCTGTTCAACCCCCTGTTCATCCCTTCCTCTCCCTAGCAGATGCGAGGGATGTGCCTTGCTCAGGGTGTATGGAAGGGGTTAGGTGCAGGGGAGATGACACTGGCTGGACTGGGGTAACTTGGAAGCACAGGGGCAGTGTAAATGCACAGAATCAGTTTTTGTGGCTGGGCTGAGGCCAAGGGAGCTTCCAGAACCGTGGAGGGTGGCCCCAGAGATGCTTCACTGAGCACAATGAGGCAACAGCTTTTAGATGAGTTTGTCCCAGTTGCAAATGCCAAATCACTGCTGGCCAGAAATGACTTTTAAGACATATTAAATTTTGGACTAGTTCACATCAAAAAAGCAGTTAATAAAATAGCAAGTGCTGGCCAGTGGATTAGAAAGTATATCTCAGGGTTACTTTTAATGTCTGCCCTTTTATGGATGGACCATGTTTCTTGTCGCTCTCCTGGCAGCACAACATGGAGAGAAAGAGCACCAATGCACTGCAGCAGCACAGGGATTTATACATCCACCCACAGAGGCAACAGCCCCTGCTATGATGCAGGAAATTCCCATTCCCTTTTTTATCTTTTCAGATCATTTGAGGAGACATAGTCTAGAGCAGCTGCAGACTCTTCCCAATGTTTTCTACTATTTGGTAGCTCAGTGACTGAGCTTGAGCATCTCTTCTTCCTTAAAGATTTTGTTTCTTTTTTACTCCCAAGGAATGAGGGTTTTTCTTTTGTCTACCCTAACTTTGTATACTACACTGTCCCCTGCAAGGGCAAAATATAGTCAGGCCATAAGTAATCTCCTCCAAGCCCTCCCCAGACCTGTGAGCAGGGCAAGCACTGCCACCTTCACTGCAGCTTTTTGGGACGTGGCCTTCTCAACTTGCCTGACTGGGATGTGAATTAGGTTTGGACATAGCTGCTTTAAATCTTTTGGAGTCCTGTAGCCAAAAATGGTGAACTTTTCAGGTTTTCTGTCTGAGGAGACACCAACTGCCTGGAGAACTTGCCTTTTCCTCTCCCATGACAGCTTGCAGTCCAGACGATGGGAACTCCTCCTGACATTATGAGATGCACTGATGTGGGAGTGCGAGACACACCCTTTCCCCTTTGGACATCCCACAAACACACAAAATGCCAGAGGTGGGAACTGCTGGCTCCTGTGGTCAGCTCCCTTGCCCAAAACAGAAGCCAGTAGTACCCCAAATCTGACTGGGGTATCAGGAGGTGGAGGGAAGGGACACACATAGAATCACAAACTCCTCCTCACGCTCAGAAAGGCAGAGGGGACCTTGCATCAGAGGACTATTTTGACCTGGCTTCCTCACAAACCCAACCCAATCCAAAGGACTTGTTTTACTCCCAAGCAATAGAAGACAGCACACCTCACCACTTCCCTCAATGCTTGTGAAATAAAGGTCTCTTCCAGCTCCAGACTTTGAGCATGTATTGTGAAGTAAAGATTAAAAACAAAGAGAACAAAGTCAGTTCTGATTTGCTCCTCCCTTTTGAGGGGAGAGACAGAAGAGAACCACTGACTCCATGTTTTAACAGACAAAGGAAATGTTTTTAGAAAGAAAGTTACCTGTAATCTTTATTTGGACAAGGAAGTAAATATGCATTTAACTAGTTTTGATGCTATAATTGTGTGTCATTGCACAACAATTCATACTTACACTTGGAACGTGCACCGTTAACTGTTCATTTCCATTTTACACGCAGAAATACATTCAATGGCTTGGAGAAGAAGGGAAGAAAAATCCATACAAACATGGTGTGTCAGAAAAAGGTCAAAAATAAGATTTATTTGCAAATCATTTTGACAATAAAGAAACTAGTATCTCTGAGCTGTGCATTTTAGGGACTACACATCAGTTCCTTTGCCTTCTGAGATTTCCATTTGCATGCAGTATGGGATACCTCTAGAACTCAAAATGAACTTGAAATTGTCCTTTTTTGCCTTATAGTGCTGAGTAATTCCTTTCACAGGCACACGACAGGAGATTCAAAGTCTTTGTAATGAAAAGCTGTCACAGGAAACGTGCAATGAAACAACCTTGGCTTAGAAAGAAAATTGTGGCATGAGAGCTGTTTCACATTTGTTTAACACAGTGTTAAGCACTTCAAGATTCCCACAAGAAGTGCCTGGTGCTGTATGAAAAACAACCCAAACAAACCCAGCAAAACCCCCCTAAACCCAAAACAAAACCCAAGAAGACCCCAAAACTCAATAAATATCAACACCTACCCCTAAACCTCACAGCTACACTGAAACCTCAGACTACACAGTACCTCTGGTTATGACCCAACTTCCTTCTCTTGAAAGCTAATGAGCTGTGTCTCATGTCAAAAAAACCCCCCAAGATTTAATAATAATTATGTTATATAAAAGAGCTCAGGATAAAGGCAATACAGAGTGAGTACTGATTTACCTTAGTGCCTGACTGTGTGAGGGCAATCTCTAAATTATGCTTAGAGTCACAGCAGCTGAAGAGGAAGAACAGCAGCATCTTCAGATCACTTCTTCACTTTATGTCCACCCTTCTCCCTGACCTTGCTCTACGCCTTTCAAAAAGCCTGGAAATTTCAACTCTGAAGTCATAGTTTGAATTAGATGAGATTAGAAGTGTATTCTGAAACTCTTTGTGATTAAGTTCTGAGCAGACCACAATTAGCATATTTTGCACTGGGGTAAAGTCCAAAGGTAGTGCAAGGACACAAAGCAACTTAGAGAGGAAACTGAAGAATCTGAACCACATCTATTTTCAGTATAGTTCCAGAAAATATTGATTTTGATAATAAAGAGGGACTTTTGTTTTCCTCTTTATGAAGGTCAAAATACTCCCAATATTCAACAGTGGAAAAATAATTTTCCCCCTTCTCCCATATATATAATAATGCAAGAAAAGATGTCCAGATGTCATCATTACCAGTTCAAATAAAGCATTAATGAGTGCATTGGATCATTCAAATGTAAATAAACATGGTGTGTATATATATATAAAAATAGATATAAATATGCCCAAAATATCAAAATTACCTCATAAGGGTAACAACTATTGGTGACAACCAGTTCATTTAAATATCTAGGTAAAGCTGGAGAGAGTAATAGTCTTAGAAATATTATTTTATTTTAGGTTACTTTAGAAAGATTAAAGCAATATTCAACTGAAAGCTCTTCATCATCAGCCCACATGCCATCTTACACTACCTTCTGGGGAACCTAGTCCCTTTCTGTGGAATAAGTATAGTTGGTCATTTCACATCAACCATTACTGAAGTGATCCTGAGAGCAAGACCTAGAATCCAGCAATCTCTTCAAGCTGAATGCCCTGGCTAACATTAGACTGCCTTCTACACAAGCTCAAAACTGAAAAAGGGATAAAGATTTCAGACCAAATCTTACATTGACATTGTTCCCTTCCATCCCAACTCAGCCATCTTCAGAGAAGAGCAAGAATTTAGTGGGTAAATTGCAAATCGCAAATCCAATGGTTATGTTCTCCCATTAGACAGGTCCAAGGCTTCACTCTTCTGAGTCCTTTGTATCCCCATATTTCTGGTGCAGTCAAATGCAAATACTGTTGAGGTTTATTGACATCTGATTTGGGCAACAGCCAAGCTGCAGATGACAACATTCTGCATCAGCCTGTCCTGGTTTCGGCTGGGAGAGAGTTAATTTTCTTCCCAGTAGCTGGTACAATGCTCTGTTTTGAATTTAGAATAATGTTGGTAACAGACTGGTGTTTCAGTGTAAACATGGCTTAGCCACAACTAAGTCAAGGACGTTTTTAGCTTCTCACCCCCCCACACCCCCTCTGTGAATGGGCTGGGGGTGCACAAGGAGCTGAGAGGGGACACAGCCAAGACAGCTGACCCCAACTGTCCCAAGGGATATATCAGACCATATGGTGTCATGCTCAAAATATAAACCGGGGGGGAAGGTTGTCCAGGAGTCATTGCTCGGGAACTGGCTGGGCATCAGTCAGCAGGTGCTGAACAACTGCATTGTGTACCACTTGTTTTATGTATTTAAACTCTTATCATTATTATGGTTGTTTTCTCTTCTGTTTCTATTAAACTGCCTTTATTGCAACACATGAATTTTACTTTTCTTTCCTCCATCCCACTTGGTGGGGGTGGGAGTAAATGGCTGTGTGGTGTTCCACTGTCTGCTGGGTTAAACCATAACACAGCCCCTAGAATCTGCCACATCTCATTAAGGTTCCAAAGTACAGAAGACTCCTACTCTGAAAATCCACTCTTTGCTGAGGAAGTATCATATTTACTAAGAACATGAATTAGCTCTGAGCATACCATCCTTAATGATGACACTTCAAAAACACCCCATGCAGTCTTATAAGTTTAGTTCTCTTACACATCCAGGTCTGAAACCTAGAAATGCTCAAGGGTTTTTTAGGAGAAGTCTTGAAGATGTCATTAAATGTTTTGGCAGAGTAATGTTATATGAAATCTGTAATACACTTGCTAACGTTTATAATCCAGTGATTATTTGTAAGAAGTATTATTGCATTTTAAGCGTAAAAATATAAGAAGTTCTATAAAGAAAATTAAAATAGCATTAATCTAATATTGATAGTCATATAAAATAACTCACAATTATGTAAGTTTCCATATTTAATTACACATTTAAAAATAAGTTATAAAAATAATTAAGCTTCTTTAAAACCCCCAAGATAGTTTCTTTTAGGAGTTTTTACTCATATCTACTGATTGTCTAGCATCAGCAACAGCTTCTGGTACTCGAACAGTCATATCGTTCATTGATTTCTTCAAGCAGAATATAAAATAACTCACAATTATGTAAGTTTCCATATTTAATTACACATTTAAAAATAAGTTATAAAAATAATTAAGCTTCTTTAAAACCCCCAAGATAGTTTCTTTTAGGAGTTTTTACTCATATCTACTGATTGTCTAGCATCAGCAACAGCTTCTGGTACTCGAACAGTCATATCGTTCATTGATTTCTTCAAGCAGATTTGGCAGCCTAAACCTGTAAGGAA